TATATATCTTGATTTAATTTCAAAATACCTTTAAAAAACAGTGATCTTGAGTTGAAATCGTTAGGGGTGGCAATGGACACAGACCCAACCAAGGACCTGAGGGGTAAACCCAATTCCAGTCCAGGTATGGGTCAAAATTTTGGACCCAACGGGTCAGGTCGGGGTCCAATAATATTTTTCGGGTCCCAATATATTGATATATTTAAATATAGTTAAATACAATTAATTTTTTGGTCTGGTCCAGGTCCGGGTCTGGTGAATTCGGGTCATAGTCCCATATCATTGTTTTCGGTATGGGTCTAGCCGGACCCTGACCCGACCACCCCTACAAATAGTTACATATACGTAAAATACCGAATATTTCGTATCTTGTGAGTATGGGGGACTTTCTGCATTGCCTATTTTTCCGAGTAGAAAATAGCGGGTGAACATATGGGGCTACAATCATATCATTGGCTTACTGCTCTAATGTCTTTCTTACATGGACTAGCTTTGAGCCACATAAATGGAAAGATGACAAGGTTTTTTTTGGTGATAGCTAATCAATTAATAGATGTCAGATGAGTCCTTTTCTCCGGATAAGTATATAACCTATGTAAGTGATCTAGGCCATTCTTCTTACTAAAATTATTATGGAAGGTCAAAGAATCCATCATGGGGACCCTATACCAAATTATACTCCATATGATTTTATAGCAAAGATATGAATGGTATTTTTTACCATGTGAGGTTTTATGCTTTATTTGGGAAATGAGATGGGGTCGTGGTAGTGGTATACCCACATCCTAGTCATCATGTTGCAGTTTTTATTCTTACTGATACCACCCCACTAATATTTTCAAAAAACTAACTCTTAAACTATTTGAAAAAACGAATAGAAATCTATCTTCCCCACTATATTATCAAGAAGAAGTAGAAGATATGCGATTTATGGAATGGGATATCATGAGATTTTGTCTTTGATACAATAGATCACAATCACTCATAATTGTAAGATTGTCGAACCTCGTTATTTACAGGTCATAAAAGAATTTTCATTTGGACATGAGCTCTATAGGTAGGATGCCTCTAGCCACCCAAATTCTTTTTCAACATCCAATGTTGATTGTGACTTCCATATATCAAAACAAATGGTCTCATTGTATAAGGTTGTGTAATTTATTTGTCTTGAGATGTTTATATGTCTCGATTTTATTGTAAGGATTAGATGGAGGAAATAACAATGACATATTAATTATGACGATAGAATACTTATTGAGGCCAATGCATAATGTTATTCTTAGAATCAAGTTTGAATATCTTAATGCCTAAATTATGTTTGGAATGGCTATACATTAGATACACTCTAGACTTTACATTATTGAGAAAACATGTGTGGATAGCCACTTCCAATATATGACATCAAAAAAATCCAAATGATGTCATGCTCTTGAGTGAGCATACTATATATTTATTCCCTTGGGTAAAACTCAATCTAGGAGTATTCTCAGGATTCCAAATTGTTGGGATGTAACTTATTCAACCCATATGAAATATTCAATGAAAATAATTACAAAAACTAGTACCTAACGATTGACTATAGTCTAATTTTTGAAGGGTGATATCTAAGCGTTACATAACTCAAAATTTGAATTTCTTTTGTATATAATCATCGAAATGATTTTTAGGTGCTCTCGTTGGATAAATATAAAAATTATTTTTTCCAAGTTAGTCTTCTGCCCAAGGGAATAAGTATATAGTATGCTCCTACGGAGACAGAGTATATGTGCTCTTTAAAAAATAGTTCCAATTTAAACAGAGGGAGAGACAGAGAGGAAACACGTATGATGAAAAGTGGTGCGTTTGATTATCTGCTTGTTGGCACAGAATCAAAACAAAGAAGATGTCCTAACAAAGCCATTAAGTCCAGGTGTAATATACACTTATGGATTGATTATAAAATTTTAGTAAATATAAAATAATTTTTTATAATCAATCTTTCAATGTGTATTAAGTAAAATAAAAAAATTTAACAACATACCCATGAGAGATAAGATGTTTGACATAATGTCCATTTGCAACTATTTCAAGTTAAAATCATGTGTATTTTTATTGGTATATTGAAATTAAATCGAAAGATATGAGTAAAGTATTAAATTGCTCATCTCATATGGGTTGTTTGATAAATTTCTTAAAAATGAACAAAGTAAATTAGCATTCATAAAACCTCATGTAAGACCTGGGTTGTTGAGAGTCCAAATAGAGAGAAATAAATGATAAATAATTAAACACATATACATTATAAATAAGAAAGTGCTCCTAGCTTGTGGTTGTGAATAGCAGCTAGGGGTAGCTTGTAAATTTCTCAATATTTTTTTAGGAAATACGTCACTTATATAGAAATTTAAAAGCAATACCAACTATTAATTTTTTGACCCGTTAGAGGAATTTGTAAAGTATTTCAACTCTTTTTCTATATTTTTCTCAGAGGGTGAGAAATCAGTAGGCAAATCGGTTAGCTAAAGATGTATCTAGACCATATTTCTTCATGCATAGATATTAAAGGGCACGTTTGTTTTACGTGAAAGAATTTCTTTATATGGTTAGATGTGGTAATATTTTTATATTAATTGGTCCAATATCATTTTTTTTTATACCAATTGACAGCTAATTGGTGTGAAAATATTTCCGTACTTAACTATATGAAATAATATTTTCAATTGAAAATATTCTCAAATAATATTTTCACTTAAAAATATTCTCAAATAATATTTTCACTTGAAAATATTCTCGATAAATATTTTTACGTGAACCAAACATGTCCGGTTGTCTTTATGACACTCAATTTTTTTGGTCCATTTGGAAAATTTAAAATTTTATTGAAGTTCTCGTGTGTTTCAAAGTACTTGTATGAATTTCTCAATTGAAAACAAAGTTAACACTTGATAGAAAGAGAGAGAGGAGAATGATGGATCTTATTTCTCTAAACTTCGAGAGAGAGAGAGAGAGAGAGAAAGAGGAAATGATGGTTCTCCTATTTCAGAAAACTTCTAGAGAGAGAGAGAGAAGGGAATGATGACGCGGGTCCCTCTAGGGCTGAACAATTTTGTTTTTGTCGGGAGTAAATTATGGGCATGTACCTTCTAATTTATTGTTGTTATAAAACTCCTCTTATGTAACACGCTCTTCATATTTAGTTTTTGAAAATGGTTGATCAGGCTATAGTCCTATCAAAATAAGTCCCAAATTGTAATTGAAGGATTGGAAAATCTTTACATTGATCGTCTCGGCAAATATTGTGGTTGTGAAAACAGATCGGAATTTCAAACTCTAAACGTTGTGTATATTGTAACAAATTATCTAAACTGTCTATTTCTTTTTAAAAATAAGTACATATATATTTGCAAGATCAGTGTGCTATTTTTTGAGTTTTAAATTTGTTTGTTGGTATTGAAAATTGATTTTAAAGTCAAAGTAAACATTTTCGTTATCGAAAATGTTTTTTGGACGAGGATTTGAAGTGAGACTTTATTTTATTTTCAAAAGCCTAGGCCTTATACGGATATCATTCTTTATTCCTAGCCTTATCGGAAGAAATGGGAAAAGATAAAAACTCTTGGCTTGTAAAAAACAAAAAAAAAAGATAAAAAAATCGGAAGAGGCTGTGCTATGCAAAACTGTGGCTTCAAATGGGTTGTTAGCTTTTTTTAAATTTACGTTCATACATCATGCTTAATCTCGTTTTTCCTTTTCTAATTGTTTGATTTTTTTTCTTTTAGATTTTCAAAGTCCAAAAATTTCAAGAATTTTGGATTGTAAAAATCCAAAAATTCATTTGCACATTTGTACAATTTTTTCTCTAGAAGTAGGGTAGGGAGAATATTTCAAAATTTGAAAATCTGATAATGCTATTGGCCTTATGTGGTTTAGGGCCATGAGCATTATTCAGATGTTTAAAATATGGTTTTTAATTTTTGGAGTTTGAAAGTATGAAAATACTCAATGGAAAGAAATTAAGTAAAAGTATCCAATTTTTTTAAAAATGATCAATTTCGGATTTTGGTGACATGAATTATAAGCTGTTTGTTCATTTTAAAAAAAATTGCAACGCAAATGGATATTAGTAATGAGGGAAAATATTTACGTAAAATTTAAATAACATAAATTAAAAAACATATATGCCTAATATTCTATTTCGTTTGACTCAAGTTGGGTTTTTTTATTAGTAATTGATTGGCACCAACTTTTAAATATTTTTTTTTCTTTTACCTCTGGTGGGCAATGGCAAACAGATTTCTAGGTTCTACTTCTTTGTCAAGGATTGGATCGACTTTCTTTTTTGCCAATTGACATTCAGAAGCTACAGAACTTAGAGGCCCAAATGCGAGTTCACATGAAATACAAGTTATACTTCAAGTGTAGTAAAATATGAAAATTTATTTTATAGAAATTTATCTAGACATTTGAGATATTTTTTTATTTAATTTCAAAATACTCATAAAAATATATGAAATATTTGCAAATAGTTAAAATATAAAATAGTTGTTGCTTATGTATTTCTATTATTTTTAAAAGTATTTATTATTTTAAAAATATATAGAAAAGTTACGTCATTTTTGAAAATATGAATTACCTCACGGAACTAGTGAAATTAGATAAAAGTATTTTAAAATTTTTATTTTTCGTATATATAATGATTTTATAAAAGTCTTCGGATATCATTATTAAAATTTAACATAAACCTCCAAAAAAAAATTTTCGTTTTACTTTTCTATACGCCATTACGCATTTAATAATAATCCTGATGGATGGATCTTCCCCACAATCACTTTTCCACATTAGAGCAAAGATTTATTAATTTGGAGTCGGATTATTTCTTAATTTTTTCATTTTTAAAGAAATACGGAAGAAGCCCGAAAGGTCCCTTTTAAGCAGATGCTCAGCGCGAATTACGGAAGTGCGAACAGTGCCCCACCTCTCATCTCTTTCTCTCTCTACATCCCCCGCTCTCTCTTCTTTCTCTCTCTAGATCTCCCCTCTATGCCCTTTTATTTCTCTCTCTATGTTCTGTTATCTATCACTTCTTTGTCTCTAAATTTTATCTTGATCTCTCCTTTCTCTCTCTAATTAATTCAGCAATTAATGGTCATCGAAACTTTTTAAGTAGATAGATATTATCCAAATTCTACGCATTACAATTCTCTCTTTCTCTCTCTCCAGCTTCGTTTTCTGTCTCTTCTGCAATTCTCACCTGTCGAAAACCCCTCTGATCCATTGCTCAGAACTTCAGATTGATCGCCACAAGACCGCTCTCAAAAACCCTAGCTTCTCTAAGCCTGCCATGACAGTACAAAACAAGAGAGAGACAGAAAAAACCATAGAAAAAAAAAGACAATTATGAAAGCAGTTGCTTTTTTGATCTCAGGACCGGCATCAGGAGCAGCAATGCCTTTGGATTCAGTGCTATAAAGGATTGTTTTGCCTGCTTTTTGCTGGTTTCGAGAAGATAGAGGCGAAATCATGGAGATCGCATTTATTTAGCGTTAAGAGGTAGGTTTTCCTTTCGCCATTTATAGCTGCATTTGAACAATTTTCTGGTGTTTTGAACTTGTATAAGGGATATCTTGAAATTAGGGTTTGAAACGAGTTTCAGTTGAATATGGTGTGTCATGGCTGATTATGCTTTTTTTTTTCTTTTGTTGGATCCGAAAGAATTTGATCATGAAAGGTAGTCTCTTTTATGTTTTCTTTTGGACTATCAGGTGAGCAAGAGCTGAAAATGTGACGATCTGAGTGATTTTTGGTATCAAATCTGAGTGACTTTTGGTATCAATGGGAAGTTTTTTTGTTTATGGATGTTGCATTACGTCTATTTTCACCGATTTTTGGTCTTACTTATTTGAACAGAGGTAAGAAGTGACGAGATTTGAAAAGACGTGGATCTGTGATATTTTTTTTTTTTGCATAATAGTTCTTATGTGTTTTGCTGAAATTTAGATTCTTTTTACCACGAGCAATGAATTTTCTGCTGAAAAATGTGAATAGTGACCAGTGCTTTTCTTTCTGGTGTTGTAAGGTGTTTTCTTCGACATTTTCATGGAAAGTTGTTGTATTAAATTGTTGAGCAAAAATTTTAAGAGCTTTTCCTGGGGATCTAGATTCTCAAGGTTTTACAAGAATAATATAAGAGAGTGCTGTTCACTAAAAATAGAAAAAAAGTTACAGAGAGCTAAAAAGTTGAAGAATGTGAAGTGATCATGCCTTGAGAAAATGGATTGGCGTCCTTTTTGATCATTAGTAGTAGTTTCTTTTGCATAATTGTTGGGTTTCTACTTTAATTGCTTCAAACAAGATGAAAGATTTGGGTATTGAAATATGACCACTAACTTCTTTTTTTTTGTCACTTCTCTTTCCTTTTTATGCATATTATTGGATATCTAATAGTTTTTATTTACAGTCAGATGTGTAGATAAAATAAGAATTTTGAAAGTTTTGTACTGGCTGTTGCTTTGATCGAGTTGTTTGATGGGTAATTTTTTTAAGTTTATGCTTTTTAATTTTGTGCAGAGAACTATTGAGATGCCAAAGTTCATGCTTTGAAGTGGGGGTTTACGGCAGATGAAGGGTGGACTTGCAGAGAACCATTGAGATGCGAAAGTTCATGGTTTGAAGTGGTGGGTTACTGCAGATAAGGGGAGGATAGGAAATGACAAGTTTGGTTCACTTATAGAATCATTAAGAATTTAGGTTTGAAAACACTGGGATAAGGGATATTTTCTTTGTGGTGAGGTCTTCATTTTCTTCCACTGGAAAGTATGACATTATGCTGAAAACAGTCATCTAGGTGAATTAAAGATAAGGCAAAGGGGAGTGAAGCTAAACTTCCCAGTGTTAGATTTGTTTTTATGAAGATAGGGTTCTGAGTCTGTTGACATTTATTAACAAGGATATTTCATTTTTCTGTGCATATGGAAAGTGGGAATCTGGGGTTGCTGGATTTGTTGTGTGAAGGCAGACATTTTGATGCCTTACTCATCAATGAATGTTAGTCATGCCAATGTATTCGATGAATGAGGCGAAAGCAGTGAATATTTGCATAAAGTCTCCCTGCTTGGAGACTGATTATTATTTTTAGCCCTGTATGTTTTGTGCACCTCGTTTGGACAGTATTCCAAGTTGAGGGGAATCAAACAAGAATGATGCACTAATTTCAGAGCTGCAATGTGGTCTTGTTTTTTATTTTCCATCAACTTGAGTTTTCCAAAGGTTTGTGTTGGAACTTAACTTCACATAATAACCTTTAGGTTCTTCTGGCAACCTTTACCTTGCATAAGTCCAAATGTCTTTTGAGGAAGAATTGGGTGCTAGATGATATGTATCACTGTTTTCTTCTTTCAAGCAAATTTCCCTGGCTGATGCATTTTGGCCAGAAGGGGAAAACTTTTACAGGCCTTATAATTAAATGTTCCTCTTGAAAGATTATGACTTCTGGGCAACCATTGCTGTTTTCTCAGAATGCTAGTGATTCTCTATCACTTGATGCCCCTCCCCCTCTGAAACGTGGATCATTTAGTTGCCTTTGTCGAACTGGGTCAGTTTCTTCTTCTCATGTGAGCTCTACCTTCTCAGACTTAGATGATGCCCAAAGCCATTTCGTGGATGCAAAAAATGAGTCACTATCCCGTAGAAAGCTAAGTTGGGATGTTGCATCCATTGGAGAAAGGGATTTGGGCAGGAATTTATATGAGTCGGAGTGTACTTTTCCCACCACCAGGTTTCAATCTGCAGAATCTCAGTTTTTTCAGCACGTGTTATCCGAATGCCATTCCCAACCAGCACAATCAGTCTCTGCTTTTAGTGGGCACCATATGGAACATGATAAGTCCTCTGATCTGTTAAGCCGAAGTGCTCTTGAAATCTCGAGTGGCCCCTCTATGTATATACCTACTGATACAGCCTCTTCTTCGAGGCGAGAAAAGCTAAATCATCAGAGGACTCGCCGAAAGAGTTGGGCAAATGAGGATATCTTGTCTTCCGAAGAGAACGCACGATTTATTCATATAAATGATCCTAGAAGAACCAATGACAAGTATGAGTTTACTGGAAATGAGATTCGGACCAGCAAGTATACCGTTATAACTTTCCTGCCCAAGAATTTATTCATCCAATTTCATAGAGTGGCTTATATATATTTTTTGGTCATTGCTGCTTTGAATCAACTTCCACCTCTTGCTGTCTTTGGGAGAACTGTTTCTCTATTCCCTCTTCTTTTTGTTTTGTTTGTCACTGCTATCAAAGATGGGTATGAAGATTGGCGGAGGCACCGATCAGATAGGAAAGAAAATAATAGAGAGGCCAAAGTTCTTCAAGGTGCTAGGTTTTACTCAAAGGAATGGAAGAAGATAAGAGTTGGTGAGATATTAAAAATCCATGCTGATGAAACTATTCCATGTGATATGGTTTTATTGCGTAGTAGTGACCCCAGTGGAATTGCTTATGTCCAGACTATGAATCTTGATGGAGAGTCGAACTTGAAAACAAGGTATGCAAGGCAAGAGACTGCTTCAACAGATTATGAATCTGAACATGTAACTGGACTCATCAGATGCGAACAACCCAATAGAAATATATATGAGTTCACCGCAAACATGGAATTTGGTGGTCAGAGAATACCTCTTGGTCAATCAAATATTGTTCTTCGGGGTTGCCAGCTAAAAAATACTGATTGGATTATTGGGGTGGTGGTATATGCTGGTCAAGAAACTAAAGCAATGTTGAATAGTGCAATTTCACCTTCAAAGAGAAGTAAATTGGAAGGTTACATGAACAGGGAAACCTTGTGGTTATCAGTGTTTCTATTTGTCATGTGCGCTGTAGTGGCTTTTGGGATGGGTTTGTGGCTGGAGAGGCACATGGATCGGCTTGATACCTTGCCATTTTATAGGAGAAAATACTTCACAAAAGGTCAAGAGAATGGAAAGAGATATAACTATTATGGCTTACCATTGGAAATCTTCTTTTCCTTTTTGAGCTCTGTCATAGTATTCCAAATTATGATACCCATATCTCTCTATATATCAATGGAGTTGGTTCGATTAGGGCAATCATACTTCATGATTGGAGATACCAGGATGTATGATTGCAGTTCAGACTCGAGGTTCCAATGCCGATCCCTAAATATTAATGAGGATTTGGGTCAGATAAGGTATGTCTTTTGTGATAAGACGGGGACTCTGACTGAGAACAAGATGGAATTTCGCAAGGCTAGTATCCATGGACAAAACTACGGCAACTCCTCTTACTTAGCTGATCAACAGATGCAGGATACCTCTGAGGGCCGTCCAGGGAAAGGAGGCATTGCAGGTATGAAATTCTGTCTTATGGTATGCTTTGTGTTATATGGTGGATAAATTTTGTTTAAGTTTGGTAGCTTTATCCCCATTCAAGTTATGCTTAATAGATATCTTAGGGGTTGTGTTGTCTATGTATTACGACGACCCCCATTCAAGTTATGCTTAGTAGATATCTTGGAGATGTGTCGTATGCTGCGTGTTTTCTTTTGCTATTTTCCCCCTTTCACGCTCTAACGTTTGAACATGTCTAGCTGTTTTATATTTTTTTATTTTATTGTATTCTTTGGTTAGTGACCTTTAGCTGATTTATTTTCCTGAATTTATGATTTCGATACGATATTTATGATACAAATGCAATGCCTGCTGTGAAATCTTCTGTTAGCAAAGAATAAGAATTAAAGCTTTTCTGTTTGCGCAAGAAGTTATTGCCAATAATGGAAGTTTGATATTGTTGTTGTGGGCAGACCGCACTTATACACCGGATCCTAGCTGAAAGGTGCAATTTAATGTGCTTGTAAAAGGTTGGCTGACCTTCTGGAAAGTCCTTATGTTGCACTCCACCATTCCTTAAACTTAGATGGTTTATTTCTACATAAAACTTGGGGAACTACAAATTGTCTTAGTGTCATGGGCTGTGGTTAAGCAGGACTATTAGCAGATCTATACTGATAACCATAGGGACTTATGCACTGAGAATGCTGGTATACGATACTACCAGAAGTTCAACAATGTTGAGAAAAGCACAAGGTGCAGCCTAGGTGGCCATGGGGTGGTCCAGTTGCCTAGGCATGATGCAGGCAACTAAGTTTTGAGGTGCCTGCCCCCCTTCCCCCGACACACACACACATACACCCACCCCTCCCGTTTTCCCAACAAATAAAAAGAAAAAAAAAAAAAAATTTCAAAAGACATACACACCATGCCCTACTGGACAATATGGGTTCAACAGCCTAGATTCAATGTAAAATATCCAAACCTATTGAATCTGAGCCATTGGCCGGCCATGTTGAATTTCTTTGTTGTATTTTTCATTTTTTACAAACCTATCGACTTGAAATTTGGGGCTTTCGTGCATCTAACAATGGTGCGCATAATAATAATAAATATTTCAAACAAAAAATTTCAAACTACCCCTGATGTTTTAGGGGCATTTTGGCCATTTTTTATGTGTGTGTGTGTGTAAGGTGGGCAACCGGGGGCGCGATGCACTTGCATAGGAGGGCCGCATCGGTTGAGGCACAATGCACCAGTTTAGATGCCACCTCAGGTGCATAAGTGTCTTGCAGTCTGGCTTAGGGCTCTCTTGGTGGGGTGCATTGACCTAGGCAGGGCACTTTGGCACCCCCCCCTACCTCGATATGGCAGCCTAGGCGCGATATGGACTGCTTTTGTTTTTCTCCACTTTCTAAAACATAAAATTTTCTAAAGCATTTGATAAATACTTGATGCCTTTGGAAACTGGATACCGACATTTGGTGGATGTTTGGCACATAAATGTTACACTCATCTCAAGATTGGTGCATTTTTTATTTATGCAAATGTTCTTCTGTTGCTTTGCTTCAAGCTTCTACATTGTGGAATATTTTGAGACTCTGATTTCCAAACTTCAGAACCTTTGTTGAGGGGTTCTGTCTACTAGAAATCTAGAAACATGCACCAATTTCTTGGTTTCTGTAATTCACTAAGTTCCTTGTTTTAGCTATGTGAAGAACTTTAATAATGTCCTTTACTAAAATAGTTGGTTCATGCTTTGAGGTTAAGTATGTTTTGATGAAAAAATATTGGGCATGACAGTTGTAGAAAAAGAAGTAATTGGCATGCAAATGAACTAGGCATCTAGGCCTCATTGTAGCTTGGGCCAATCACTTCCATTATCCTGCATTTGTGCTCGGAGGCTGGCTTGCATGCTTTCATGAGCTAGGCTAGGTTCGAGTCCTTTTGGGTGGCGTGGGTTGAAGATGGAGCATTTTGAGCGGAAGTAATCAAGTAATTTGTAGTTGCAATGCAAAAGTAAATTCTTTTTTAAGTTTACCTGGGGCAAGCTACTAGATGTATGTCATCTTTCTGGAACATGTTCTTGCTGTTGGTAATTAAATCTCTGAGAAGAGGTGCACCATTTATCCAAGTCAATGTGAATCATTGACACAAACTACATTAAAATCCATTAAGCTTGTTTTCATTTGATACAGTTTTGCACATGGAGGCTATCCACAAACTACATTGAAATCCGTGAAGCTTGTTTTCGTTTGGTACAGTTTTGCACATGAAGGCTATCCACAAGCTACATTAATATCCATTAAGCTTGTTTCCATTTGGTACAGTTTTACACATGAAGGCAATGTGGATACTTTATGCTTTATTGTTGCCAAATTTGACCCTCAAATGTAGCGGCTCTTGTAGTGACTAATTTGGTCCGTATTTGAAATTGTAAAATGTGTTATTAAATAATTGCGGTCATATATCTGAAACCACATACAATCCAGTGCATTTTTTATATCGCATTAATTTGTTAATGTTGATTAACAGATCAGGCTCGCACGGACGGGTGATGTAATTGGATAATTTTATCTTTGTTTTAGATCTTAGTTAGTCCGGAGTTGTTTAGCTTAAGCTGTTCTGTTTTTATTGCCTCAGATACTATTAGCAGACAGAGGTGGAAGCCTAAGACTGTAGTCAAAGTGGATCCTGAACTCGTGGCATTGTTACACAAGGAATTAGTTGGAGAGGAAAGAATTGCTGCACATGAATTTTTCCTCACTTTGGCAGCGTGTAATACTGTTATTCCGATAAAAACTGGAAAACGACTTTCTACAGATCTTTCTTTTGGTGAATTTTATGAAGAACCTGTGGTTATTGATTATCAAGGGGAGTCTCCTGATGAACAAGCTTTAGTATGTGCTGCCTCTGCTTATGGCTACACACTTATGGAGCGTACATCTGGGCATATTGTAATTGACATCCATGGGGAAGAGCAGAGGTGGTGCCCTCCATCCTGAACTATGTTCCAGTTCGCATGATCTAGATTCATGTGCATTTTTATGCTTTTCCGTACTTTTAATAGATGGGTAATCATAATTGTCCTGCGTAGCTCTCTAACCTGTTAATCTATTTGTGTTTGATTAAGTTGTTTCCTTTATATGATAGTTTCCATTGCCTCATTCAATCTTTATCTTGTTCAGGTTGGATGTGTTGGGTTTGCATGAGTTTGACAGTGTACGGAAAAGGATGTCGGTGGTGGTTAGATTTCCCGATGATTCAGTGAAGGTCTTGGTTAAAGGTGCTGACAGTTCCATCTTCAATATACTTGCAGAAGTGACTGACCAAAGAGAGGATCAATCTACTGGTATACGATGTGCAACCCAGAATCATTTAAATGAATATTCATTGCAGGGATTGCGTACCCTGGTACTTGCTTCGAGGGATCTCTCTGAAATGGAGCTTGAAGAGTGGTTTCAGAGCTACCAAGAGGCAAGCACTTCATTAACCGAGAGGTCTGCAAAGCTACGTCAAACTGCATCTCTTATTGAGTGTAATCTGAATCTTCTTGGGGCTACAGGAATTGAAGACAGATTGCAAGATGGTGTACCAGAAGCCATAGAATCCCTAAGGCAAGCAGGAATTAAAGTTTGGGTTCTCACTGGTGACAAACAGGAGACTGCAATTTCTATTGGTCTTTCATGTAAACTCCTTACACACCACATGCAACAGATTATTATCAATGGCAGTTCAGAGGAGGAATGTAAGAACCTTTTGGCAGATGCCAAGGCCAACTATGGCATTAAACCACAAGGTTGCAGGAGCAAAAATTCGAAATGGAAGAAAAACATTGATAGTGATCAAACAGAGGTTGAGAATCCGAATGACTATGTGACACCTGGCAGTACTTTTCCCAAAACCGGGTTGCACCTGAGATACAGTTTTGATACTGAAGACTTGCCTGAACAATATGGTGCCAAAGTAGCAAGCACAATGAATCAACAACTTGCACTCATTATAGATGGCAACAGTCTCGTCTATATCTTGGAGAAAGACCTACAACCAGAGGTTTGCATTCTAAAAGCTTCTTGTAGGTTTTCACATCATTCTAACACCTTGGGGTTCCTAAAATCTAGTTGGTTGTTTCTATTATAGGGAAAATATCAGTAAAAGGGTGGAGACCCCCTGCAAAATCACTAAAGGGTTCAAAAGATCACAAATTACATTTACGGTTTTACTTTTACATTTCTATTTCAATCAGTTATGTCCTTAAATAAATATTAAAAATTTCCCAGATTGCCCCTATTTGGTGTTGGGAGCCCAAAAAATTAGGCTCACTTTGGTAATTTTATCCCCAAAGAGTCCTTAGCAGAATGGCAGAAGTACCCTTGCTTGTTTGGAGTTAGAAATAACAAACAGCATGTTCGGTATTTGAAATAAGGAACATTAAGGGGTATTTACATCATTTGAAAGAGCTATGTCATAAATACCCCTTATTATTTCCTTATTTCAAATACCGAACATGTTAAATGACATAAATACTTCTTATGCTCCTTATTTTAAATACCAAACAAATTGTTCATTATTTCTAGCTCTGAAAAAAATAGGGTCATTTATGTTATTATGTAAAGGATTCTTTGGGGGTAAAATTACCAATTGCCCCTAATTGTTGGGGGCTCTTAACAACAATTAGGGGCAATATGGGAACTTATAATTTTTTTTTAAGGTCATACCTGATTGAAATGGAAATTTAAAAGCAAACCCCTAATTGTAATTTTGATCTTTTATTTAGTATTTTGTAAGGGGTTTCAACCCCTTAATTGATATTTTCCTTTATTATATATCTAGAAACTCTAAATATCAAATCAAGATCAACTGCCGATTCTTCTCTTTCACATTTCTTTTAGTTGCATGATTCTTCATCTTTTTGACCTCTGTTGATGATTGTTTATTGCTGATAGTGTTCTATTATTTTGTGTATGTGCAGCTTTTTGATTTGGCAGTTTCCTGTAGAGTAGTACTTTGTTGCCGTGTTGCTCCTCTGCAAAAAGCTGGTGTTGTGGATCTTATAAAGAGCAGGACAAATGACATGACGTTAGCAATTGGAGACGGTGGGCAATATGGAAACCTTCTTTTATAATTTTTAAATCATCATTCCATGTTGTTTGCTGCTGTTGGTCTGGATGCATGTATATTGATAGTGTCCTTTCTCCCATAGACGGTTCATTCGTACTTGGATGGTATGATCATTGCATCTATTGAAGTCAATCATACAACTTAATTTACATGCTTCATATCTGTAATATAACCTAATGAATTGATGTCTTGTTAATACTTCATTAATTTTTTTTCCTCGCGGGTATTTTGGGAGTGTGTACTTACTATTCCCTTCTATTGTGACTGATTATTCCTATGATTCCACAGGAGCTAATGATGTCTCCATGATTCAAATGGCGGATGTTGGAGTTGGCATATGTGGTCAAGAAGGGCGTCAAGCAGTGATGGCATCGGATTTTGCTATGGGGCAGTTCAGGTTTTTGAAAAGATTGCTGCTTGTGCATGGACATTGGAACTACCAGCGTGTTGGTTATTTGGTTTTGTACAATTTCTACAGAAATGCTGTGTTTGTAATGATGCTATTTTGGTATGTATGATTAGATTCTGAATTGTTGCCAATTTGCCATAATATGTTCCATTTTAGCTATCATGGTTTTTTGTGAATTGCCAGTATCTCTTTGACATGATTTACTGTTGATATGGTGCCACAAAATCCAAAGGCTAAAGTTCTTTTTTGGAAATGTGATAATAATTTGTTCATGTTTGGAAATTTCCAATTTCAGAAAGAAAATGCAATCAATTATCTGCTAAGGACCTTCTGTAATTACATGAACCTGCTTGATGCCTAACAACGGCCACATTTGTTGTTGAATATTCTGGTTCCAAACTTGTAATGTTACTGAAATAGATAATTGCATGTTTTTTTTTGCAGGTACATATTATGCACGGCTTTCTCTACAACTTCTGCATTGACAGATTGGAGCAGTGTGTTTTACTCCGTGATATACACATCTGTCCCAACAATTGTTGTGGGTATTCTTGACAAAGACCTAAGTCATAGGACTCTCCTCCGTTATCCTAAACTTTATGGTGCTGGGCATCGGCAAGAGAGTTACAACATGCGTCTCTTTTGGCTCACAATGATCGATACACTTTGGCAAAGTCTAGTGCTCTTCTATGTGCCTTTGTTTGCCTACAGAAACAGTACAATTGATATATGGAGTATGGGCAGTTTGTGGACAATTGCGGTGGTTGTGCTTGTCAATGTTCACTTGGCCATGGACATCCAGCGTTGGATATTAATCACTCATATTGCATTATGGGGTTCTATAGTCATCACATATATTTGTCTTGTGGTATTGGATTCCATACCTGACTTTCCTAATTACTGGTTAGTGTCCTGACTCTGACCTGCGTCTTTGATAACTAGAACCAAGAGCGTAGCCTTCTGCTGAAAATTTTGATGTAATATATTTTTATACACCCTGGCACATGCACAAAAAATATTATGGTCTCTTTGAAAACTTAAACCCAAAGCTCTGCTAAAAATCTGGACTCACGTGCTTTCCGTTCTAAAAGTGAAGGTAATTTATTATTTATAAGCTGAACTTAGCTGCTTTCCTTCTGACTCAATGTAAACAATTTACTGCTTAAATATAAAGGTTAACCTTTATACTACAGTTAACAGCATAAAAAAAGCCCTTTTCTTAAGAAAAAGAATTTGTTTTCTGAGAGTGATCTAGCTAGAACTTACTCTGGACTTTTAGAAAAGCTTAATATTTGAATCTTGACTGGGATCATCATGAGCACTATCTAATTTTTTGGTTTCTTTGACAGGACTATTTACCATTTAGCATTGTTCCCAACCTATTGGCTCAATATTCTGCTTATAACAGTTTTAGCATTGCTTCCCCGGTTCCTTCTCAAAGTTCTCCAGCAGATGTTTTGGCCTTCTGATATTCAGATAGCTAGAGAAAATGAGATATTGAAGAGACGCCATTTGGGTGTCAAATCTGATGAAGGTTCTGGTTAACATTTATAATTTTTTCACATGGAGAGAGAAACAGCACTTTCTCCATCAAAGAGAAATACAGTTTAACATGGTTTTTCCTGACTTCAGCTACGAGCTCGCGTCAATGGGGAGCTCAATGGTGATCGAATAAGTTCCAGGTACGTGCAAGGTTGCCCTTGCGGCTCCTGCTTTCCACATGTATCATCTGAGATATACTGCCGCATCCTCCAAGGCCAGCAAATATGGATGTATTGGGGAAATAAATATTGAATACTTGCTTGCCCTTACGGGTTTTGTAATATAGTCAGAGTTGTATCCCAATATCCAGTTTCAGTTTACACCATTCTGTCTCTATTCATTTACACCATGCTGTCCCTATTCATTGGGTTGGAGTGGAATTGATGTTTTTTCTCCTCCTAGTTCAGACGAGTGTTGTCATCGTTCCTAATCCTCGATTAAAAGTCATTGTATTTGTGGGTTCTTTCATGCTAGTTTCAAAATTTATTACATGCATGAGCACTCACATAGTGAAGCTAGTTTGGCCTTACTATGCAGAGCATAATGCATGGGGTTTTATCATTTTCCGAGTAACAAATTACTTACTATCCCAAAACACAATGTTGAAAGGCCATATATTTTAATGGTCCTATTTTCTGAAGCAAAGACAAGTCTAGAAAAAGAAGACATTGGTTGCTGCGCTTTATATTTCATGCTCTAATTGGGTGGCTCTTTGCCACTTCTCTACAAAGTTAGTTGCTTAAAAGTGTGAGACAGGAAATGTGTATGTGTTGGGAAACATTGGAAAGAGTTTCGATCCTCAAGAAAATGAAGGGCCACCGATTGAGAAGATTCTGAGAATGAGGTATGCAAACTTCTAGTCGTATTGTTTATTTTTACTTTCCCAACATCATTCTACCTGGACTGCCTTTATAATTTTGGTTGGTACTCTGTATGAATAATTAGTTATTATGTATTAGGAGAAGGAAAAGAAAAATCAACGAAACTATAAAAAGAAAACAAAGGACAATTCAACTGAGAAAAGAACCAAAAAACTTTATGCTTTTCTGACCCGTGAATTGCCTGATAAAGATTGTCATCCATTTCATTCTCTTGATTTACACAAATTGTATATCACTATGCATGTCTGATTGGTGAATGTGCCAAATTTCAACCTGTGCATTATCTGATGAAGATCTTGGTTCATTTCATTCACCTGCTACATATATAGTGAATCTGAAATCTAATGTCTGGATTCAACTTCTCCTTTTTCTTATTTGCTCAAATATTGGTGTAGATCTTCTCTATTTCGTGCACATATCCAAGCGAACGCTGGGATCTCACTGCGAAGTCTCGTGCGTGAGTTGTAAATGAAATGAGAGTGATTCAAAGTGGTAACAGAAAGAATCAGAGTTCCCAAGGCAAGATTTGCACCAAGTATGAAGAATGTCCAAAGTTATTGGTGAACAGTGCTAGAGCTAGAGCTAGTGCTTTCTCTTGGTGCTTATTTTTTATGGGATGATACTATGATAATTATTGTCAATTATAAAAGGAAAATATTACACGAGAATGATCATTTATCTCTTGGGCTTGTATACTATAGGACCATTTATCTTGTGGGTGAAGTTCTGTTCTTTTTTCTTTGGTAGTTCAGTGGCTTGAGATGTAATGTTGCCTAATTCCAACTGCTAATTACTCAATCCCAAGTCCGACTCCTAATATTATCTCTGGTACAAGACTGTTACAATCACTCCTAGTCCTCAAATGTGAGTTATGAGGGGCTAGAGTTGTATCACAAAGTTAAAAGAAATAATCTATTGGACACTTCCTGAGTGGTTATCAGTATCAGTTTTGGCAGCTCCAACATTTTACTTTGCCAAATGGGTATACGAGACAATGGTATAAGATGGCAAAAGTGGGATTGTTAGTGAAAACTTTTCCTTATTTTGATTGTGTTTGGTATGCCACGTTGGATCGTATTGTACATGTTTTGGGATCCACTCAAGAATCACTAGATGGTTGTCTTCAAAAAAAAGGAATTGGATTGAGTTCTTAAATACCTAGATCAATCCTGACAGAAGTGGGATAGCCTTCACTCAAATCTTTGGATGTTATTTTCACCAAGCACAGAGTGAGCGGCTGATTTTTATTTTTTATTTTTTGGATGTTATTCGAATTGGTTGCATCCAAAAATTTGAGGCGTAAAAAATAGCCCTTATTTGATTTTTATTGGGGGAATGAAGGGAGGAAATGCTTCCATGGGAGTGTGGCACTTTTTTTAGCATTTTTTAATCCGTTTGTGAAAACTTTTGAGATTGTCAAATCTTATTTACTCCATGTAGTCTATGTAGTTTAAGATGCATTCACCTAACAAAAAAAAACAGAGAAAAAAAAAGAAAAGTGGTTTAAGATGCATTTCAAATCCTAAGCCCATTTCTGGGATGGATTCTATGGGAAAGGACCATATTTGAATAGAATTTCATTTAAACTTCTCTGGATCTTACTTCACTTGAATGTCACTCCATTTGAAGCTTGGATTCCAAGCATTGGGTTCCCATCCCCTCCACCCTTCGCCTTTCTTTATCTTTCTTCAGCTCTCCTGGCACCATTTTTTGAGGCATTTTCTCGACAAAGCTCTCTCAGCAAGTTCAAAGGCTAATCTCTCTCTCTAAACATATTAAACTTCACAAGAGGGCCAAATCTTGGGTACATTCTAAAGTTGAGTAATGATTTCCAAAAAGGGAAGCTCCACTAGGAAGATCCACTAAGGCAAATGCATGATGGGAAGGCCCCGGAAAGCAGTGCTTAAAAACACAAATCCGATGCCAAGAAAGCACTACTCAAAAAGCACGCATTGAGTGCTGAACAAATTGGCACCCGGCCATCCGAGCCAGCTTGCTGATTCTGGTCAACTCTGCTTAGATGGTGAGAGAGTCAAAATCAAATAAGATAATTGCCGAGGACTCAGGAACTGCTCGAGTGAAAAACGAGTTTATTGCTTGGATTAGGCAACTAATGTCATTCCCCAGTTCGGACCAAACAGTAACAAAAACCCCTTGGATCAGAGCTGGCTCAAGCAATTCCTAGTTAGCTCGATGATCTTCCAACGGCCCAAAAAGACCTATAGTCTACCTATTCTCTCCATGCAACCAATGAGAGATGCCAAAGAACAAAAATATTCCATCTTTTCTGCTAACATCAAAACACATAAGGGCAAACAAAGTTCCCAGTCAGAAACCATTTCTTCAATTTTCAAGCACTAATCATACATCAGGGCACAGTGAAGTCATCATTTCCCACAAATATAATATCCTTTCAAATGGGTTTTTACACATCAGCAAGCCATTGCTTTTTGTCACTCTAACCCATCTATTTCTTACTCCATTCACCATCCCATGCATAATTACCACAACTTTGAGCAAGGCAACCCCAAAAACTGTTATTTCCTATTCTAGTTTCCTCACCTTTTTCTCGGTTCTTTTCTTTATGTGTACATACTACAGTGAAAATAGATCTGAAAGAGATTCGCTTTCCTCACCTATTCTAGTCTCACAATTGCAAGAGATCGAAATAGGTTCGCTTTCCACCCCCAAGTTCTTTCTCATGCAAATTTTCACTTTCACTTAATTTGCAGGGGGTTAAAAAAGCTCACCCTCTTTTATCTTCTTCAAGGTCTTCACTCAATCCAAACACATGATTCGAAGTCATTGCCTTCCTCTCTGTAGCTTTCACTGCCCCTAAGCCAGTTAAAGCTACACCCTCCTCTTCATCGAAGTCGTCGGCTGCCTCATCCGAATATGCATATCTGCAACAGCCCAATTCAAGAAACAGTTTTAAAAAATAAATAAACACATCACTGATACTCGAGATAATAAAGGTACTAATATATGGAAAGAGTACATAATGAGATTTTTCTAATAACGTATTTCTTAAACAATAAAATATGTGAAAGTCGTTTGGGCCGAATAACATGATCCATTCATAATAACTTCATATCCTAGCAGTTATCACCACTGTCGTCAATGGGTTGGACAGTGTTGTAGGAGGTAGCTACTACCATACAACTTCAAGAACTGTACGGCCCCACATTTTCTAAATCAGTATCCAACCAATTAATTGGCCAGTTACAAGCCCATAGGTCATGGTTATCATATCAATCATATAATCGTTTCCAACTTGTTTATAGACTGATGATTCCTAGGGCAAAGGATCTACTTAGTAGGATTTCATTTTATCTGAAAATCTGGATCCACCTAAGAATCACCAATTGAATATGATGATGACAACGACAAAGACGATGACAATAGGGTAAAGTTGTATGTGGTGCCCTCCATAAACAATAAAAGGCGCACATGCAAACCTTGTTAAAAAAAGCAGTTTTTGTGTCAAAAACTTTTTTGATGGTCTCATTTCTCAAAAAGCTTTTTTGATGGTCTCAAAATTTCATTTCCATCCTTTATTATGAAATTTAAAGCTCTAAAAATAATGAAGAACAAGCAGATATATAACCACTTAAAAAACTTAAAAATTGAATGGTCCAAATAATGTGTTACAAGATGCACTATTTTTTACTTTTGAGAATGGGGTTGGGGTCGTGGTGGTAACACCAATTGTGCCCAAGCTAAAGTCTAGGTTTCTATTCTCATCTAACCCATTAAAACACCACTAACGATTTTAAAAAACGGGTAGGGGCTCATCATCCCCACTGAATTACCCAAAAAAAAAAAGATGTACTATTTTTAAGATGTGAAATCCTTTTCTTTTTCCATTATCTAACATCTGGAAGTTGAGATGATCACGCCTCACTTCTACAGTACAAGGATGACACCTCATAAACTCTTTCCATAGTAAGAATAATAATAAACAAGAATTGCGTCCCCTTAAAACTTAGATCGGACTGTCAAAAGTCAGTCAGTCTCCGTTCATTCATAGGAAGTTGATTTTTTGTACATCATAGGATTTTACCTGGAGTGAATGCATTATATGCTCTCATAGGAGCATATAATCTTCTGGTTGTTTTTTGAACTAACTAAGAATGCCCGTCATAGGAGCTACGAAATAATTGTAACAATTTAAGTGATAATTGATCAAACTGAAACTCCCTAAGCATAATACTGAATATTAGGTATGATGTTAAAGTAGCTTTGTCCATCTATTTTGGACAAGGAAAACTTTTTTGGTGTATGCTCTGTCATTCTTGCCCAGAAGCAACGGTAGAACTTGGATGCACTGCTTATCCCCACCAGGTGCACATCACCCACTTTTTTGGTGAAATATTGAGAACGTATTTTTTTTTTACGATTTCAAAGAATTCAACAAAGTCTGTGGAATCTTTGGGTGATTGTTTTGAGTTAATTTTGTGCTAGGTTCTGAAGGATTTTGGAGAATATTTATCAAGTAATCCAGGGTTTCAAGGGCATGGAGATTGAAATCACAATTTGAGATTTCTGTCAATTGTGGGTTAGATAAAATCAAGTTTGTTTTCATATTTTAGACATTTGGACTCTTTAGTGCTATGTCATTTCGGGTGTTGGCTATATGCTACAAAGCACTCCGTTGCTAAATGTTATTTTAATTTTTTTAAAAGGGAAATTTATTAAATTGCCCACGAGATGAACAAATTTAACACTTAAAGCATATCTTTTGATTTAATTTCAAAATAACCATTGAAGAACACATGGTCTTGAGTTGGAACAATTGCAAATGAGCAAAATGTAAATACATCATCTCTAATGGGTATATTGATAAATTACCTTTTGTTTAATGTTTGTTTGGTAACTTAGTATAATACATATACATTATCAAAAAGAAAAAAAAACTTAGTATAATACATATTCGTTGGTGTTTTATTTAACCTAGCGAATGGGATAGATCACTTTATCTTACTTGTTAATGGCATTGGAGAACAAAGACAATGTCTTTGTCACTCTTGATTAGGCTAATGACTCCATACGTCAGAGAAGGTTGTTTTGATGTTGAAAAACCCTTTAGTTGATCATCTTGATATCAAAGTGTATGAATATGAAAAAAAAAAAATTTCAAGCCTAAAAAATAGTGCATCTTGCAACAAATTATCTGGACCATCCATTTTCAATATTTTTATGTGTTTATAAATCTACTTGATTTAAATCAAATTTGGAGTTTATAATTTAATAATTAGAGATAAAAACGGATCCTTATGCCATTCTAAAAAAAATTTACACCAAAATTACATCTTACGGTAAAATTTGGAGGTGTGCCTTAATTTGGTTGTTTAAGGTTGCAACCTAAAGCAAACCACACCCAAATTAAAATGCCTACTTTCAAATAAAATAGATATCTATTTTGGTATACCCGCTTAAAGGGGTGCCAGGAAATATCTTCTTAAAAACTTCATAGGGCTTTCTCACATTTAGAATTCTTATTTATCAACCTAGGCAAGGCCTATGCTTTTAAGCACCTCAATGAAGTTAGCCAATGAATAAATTGAAATGGAGCTAGCTCTTATGCACCCAAAGAAAAAATCAGAGCTAGCTCTTTTGGTCAGGTGTAGTCCAGTTCAATATCCCTTTAACTGTAACAGACAGGGAGACGCCGTCTGCCAAACCCAGCTCACAAATAAAAGCTCTCTAGCATTTCATGTCTGGTGTTATTTTACAATAGACAGATGCTTGGAGCATTGAGATCATTTTTCCTGGGTCTAATTATTACTACCTCTGGTTAATAAGACTATTAAATGTTCTAATATTTAGGTAAATACCTGGTTGAACTTTGCGATGGTGCCCATAGCATGCATATAACAGCGAGGAGTAAGTAGGCAAGCATGGTCCAGAAAGCTGGGATGATCCATGCCCTTCCCAGAGCTCACTCAAAGGATCGGTTGAATTGAAATACAGCTGCATTATTTGACAGCATGAGGTGATGTTAGCAAAAAATAATGGATGTTCCCCTGATTTCCAGGCACAACTCGTTTTCGAAATAACCCATAACATGATAAAAGTGTACTGCTTCAAAAGTTTTCTTTTCCCAACCTATTTTTTTCAAAATTTTTTTTTTTCCAACCTATTTTTTCAACCTATAAATAAGTTATTCAGAAGAAATCCCAAAAAAGGAAAAACACTATCACCACAAACTATGTTGTTATTTCTCCTCTCCTTAAAAAGAATTGTTAAAAGCCTTTGATATCATTCTTTTTTTACATTTAGATACTTTTTGGTAATCAACCTATGAGATGATGGAAATCAGAATTCAAGATTAGGTTTTATGAAAATGAACAGTCGCCTTTTTTCCTATAAACCAGAAGAAGTACCATACATAAAGGGAAAAATCTACGTCTTAATATATAATGTGCATATTGGAAATTCACAAATGCTTCCTTGTACTGCATTTTATTCTGCAAGAAAAGCATGCACATTTAGGATGATCAGGAATTTTGGATATATTGACCACCTGGTAATTAGGTGGAAAAAAAAAATAAAAAACAAGAAATTGCAAAAGATGAAGACTTTGGTTATCATGGTGTCCACTCAAGAGTTCAAGACTTTATTTTTTGAAGCTCAGTGGTACTTGTCCATTCATCAACTCCAGACTCCCAAACTACAACTAACAGCAGGTCAGTTGTCTTCCGCATAGATTCCATGTGTAATATGACTAGAAACTCAAGAAAGATTACCTCATAGCCAATCCAAGCAACAGAGAGTAGCACTGATATTGCAAGGCAGTTAGTAAATTTCCGATAGAGCTCCAGTTTTGCCATACTTCTCCGCATCTAAAACCAGGAAAATACATGTTCATTTTTTGAGAGAAATTTGACTATAACTATATTACTGAATAATAAGGCGTACAAAATGAGGCCCTATAAGAAGGCACCCTATAAAGCCCCGAAGGGTCCAAATGAGCTACCAGGAAAATACATCTTCATTAAAACAAATTAGATGTATAAAAACTACCATCAAGCTATCAGCACTCAGATATATACAAAGCGACTGCCATTAAAAAAAAAGACCACCATCATATCCAGAAAACCGAAGACAAGGTGAATTGGTATATTAAACCGTAGACATACAGGTTCTTCTCTTGCATTAGTAATAGACAAATTCCGCCTACTCTTTTTGCCAGCATCTCTAAAAGTTTCTTAGCGTATATGCCATAAATTATGCTTTGGCATTTTTCCCGCTTATCAACAGCATCAGATCAAAGCCTAAATGATGGAGATAAATATTTGCTAATCCATAGAAATCATCCAGAGAGACAGATTCTATGTGGCGAAACTGATGCAGACCAAAGATATGGTGTCAAGCTTAGAGTGGCACACAAAGCACAAAGAAGAGCATGGGTCAGCTGTCATCTGAAGGTTGCTGCAACCAAAAGTTCAGCATCCTGAACTCTATCAACTGGTTGCATCACCTCAGCTCAGGTTCCAGATGTCATCTCAGTATATGATATAGCCCGTCATTAACCAGCTCATCCATTTAATGCTCCGTAATTCTTTTCATTTCTTAATGTATGGGTATATGTGTATCTTACTGCAACATAGTATTTTACATATATTACAAAAATAGAGTAATAATTGTAACATATCATACAAATTTTTAATGATTGTGTGAAAATTTAGATACATGCTCTTGAGGTGATAAAGAGTTTCACAGTCTGATCTAATGCCCCATCACGAGATTCCAGTTATCCTTTTACCGGTATTACCTTTAACAAGTTACCTCTATTGTTTTCATTATTATCCTTTCTCTGACTCTAAATTTACTTTTTGCATTAAAAAAAATAAAAAATCTAAATTTACTTTCCCCTCTTCTTAAGCAGGATGCCATCCAGATCTGCTAGAGCATCCACCTGACTTGTGAACTTATTTGGCCCAACCATAAGCCTTCACAGAGAAGAAGGTGACCTCATAAACTCTCTCTCTCTCTCTCT